TTCAATCATCATGTTATTATATCAGCCTAGAATTTGGATATATGGTGGTTCTAAATTATCTCTATGCTTATTTACATCATTATTTTTGATAAAAACAAAAACTTAACAAAAGTATTTTAGGTTTTTAAATAACATCCTATATCATTTTTTTTTGTAGCAATCTAGGCACATTAAAACAGAACAAACTATCATTTGTTATAGTTATCATCCTTTGGTATCCAAACATTAAGCATTTACGTCATGTTACGTCATGTGTAATTAACATTAATATCTGATTTAGTATAGTTCAAGTGCATGTGTGTTAAAACCGTATTGTGGAATTTCAATTCTAAACATCAACTTTGTGATAAGTTTTTTTTTATCTATTATATTTTTATTATCTGTTCTTTACTAATATGTTTTTTGTAGGTTTTCCCTCTCTAGTTAAGTTATTTGGAAAGAAAAGCACTGAACTGCCCTTATCAATTCAGTTGTTGTTGTTATTATTATTACTTATTTTCTCTTAAAGATAGACTTATATTGCAGGGCTGCCAACTTTCTACACTTTTTGGGAAAATTTCTTATAGTTTTTTCTTGTTTTGATCAGTGACTTTTTGCATAGTAAATTTGACTTATTTTCCACGCCACTGAGTCNCTTATAGTTTTTTCTTGTTTTGATCAGTGACTTTTTGCATAGTAAATTTTCCACCCCACTGAGTCTGAATGATTCAATAGTTCAAATGAAAGAACATTTAGTTCCAGTTCTTTTGTTCTTAAAACTTAACTATAAGTAACCAAACATTTTGAAATCTTTAATTTTTAATTGTATGTTCAATTGTTAAATGATAAAGTTTTAATTTTTTGTTAATGTCTTTTGATTGTCTACCACTCTATAAAAATATATCACAAAAAGCTTAGTAGTTGGCAGCCCCATATATTGTTCTAAGATACTAAAGGTCAAATAGAAGGGAAATAAATAGTTAAATGCCACAGCCACGTGTCCTGTTTTGCCAGTCAGTTACAATGCACATAACTACTTTTTTAAAAGCTAAAACTTATGTGATCTTTTGTCGAAAATGTGGTAAGCTATAACCCTAAAATTAAAGAAAAAGAAAGATAGTTTGAGAAGATTCTCCCAACACAAAATTATGAATGTTAGCTGTACAATATTTTATTTTATATTACAGCAGATGTAAAGCTGTTTACTTCTAAAACATGCTATAATTATTTCTTTTCTCACTGCTGAATTGGTTTTGTAGTGGATGATACTGAATCAGAGTCTGAGGAATTTACTGTTTGTGATGGTTACATTCATTATCGTTATACTGTTAAGTTAGTCTGTTCAGTTACAAGAATGGCATGACCTAGACTGGTAATTTTTCAACTTTATTGTGTTTTCTTTTAATTTAACAACTTAGTATGCAATAGTGCTTTTGTGTATCTTTCTGAATGGTGTCTTTGTTTTATTTTTAAATTTAAACTATATATTATTATTCTTTTTGAAAAGCGGAATAGAAAAAATTACTTTTGGCAGTTTTAGTGGCAATATTGTTTGTGTGTATTTTTCAGAATGTTGTCTTTATT